CCAGAACTTCCAAGAAGAACTAATACCTATAATCCTTAATGTATTTCACAATATAGAAACAGAAGAGTCATTGCCAAATTCCTTTTATGAAGCTACAGTTACCCTGATACCAAAACCGCACAAAGACTCAACCAAGAAAGAAAATTATAGACCAATCTCACTCATGAACATCGATGCAAATATCCTCAACCAAATACTGACAAACCGTATCCAAGAACACATTAGAAAAATTATCCATTATGATCAAGTAGGCTTCATCCCAGGGATGCAGGGCTGGTTCAACATATGAAAATCTATCAATGTAATCCATCATATAAATAAACTGAAAGAACAAAACCATATGATCATTTCATTAGATGCTGAAAAAGCATTTGACAAAATTCAACATCCCTTTATGATAAAAGTATTGGAGAGATTAGGGATACAAGGGTCATACCTAAATATAATAAAAGCTATATACAGCAAGCTGACAGCTAACATCAAATTAAATGGAGAGAAACTTAAAGCCATCCCACTAAACTCAGGAACACGACAAGGCTGTCCACTCTCGCCATACCTTTTCAATATAGTGCTTGAAGTTCTCGCAATAGCAATAAGACAACATAATAGGATCAAGGGGATTCGAATTGGAAAGGAAGAAGTGAAACTTTCGTTATTTGCAGATGATATGATAGTCTACATAAGCGACCGCCAAAACTCCACCAAATAACTTTTACAGCTGATAAACACCTTTAGTAATGTGGCAGGATACAAGATCAATTCCAAAAAATCAGTTGCCGTCTTATACACAAAGGATATGGAAGCAGAGAGGGAAATCAGAGAAGCTTCCCCTTTCACGATAGCCACAAACAGCATAAAATATCTTGGGGTAACTCTAACCAAGGAAGTGAAAGATCTATTTGACAAGAACTTTAAGGCATTGAAGAAAGAAACTGAGGAGTATACCAGAAAATGGAAGGACCTCCCTTGCTCTTGGATTGGGAGGATCAACATAGTAAAAATGGCAATTCTACCAAAGGCAATTTATAGATTCAATGCAATCCCCATCAAGGTCACTTCAAAATTCTTCACAGATCTTTAGAGGACAATAATCAACTTTATATGGAAAAACAAAAAACCCAGGATAGCCAAAACAATCATATACAATAAAGGATTGTCTGGAGGCATTACCATCCCTGACTTAAAACTCTATTACAGAGCTATAGTGATGAAAAGAGTGTGGTACTGGCATAAAAACAGAGAAGTCGACCAATGGAATCATATAGAAGAACCGAATTATGACCCACAAACCTATGAACACCTCATTTTTGATAAAGGAGCCAAAGGTATACAATGGAAGAAAGAAAGCATCTTCAACAAATGGTGCTGGCATAACTGGATGTCAACCTGTAGAAAAATGAAAATAGACCCATATCTATCACCATGCACAAAACTCAAGTCCAAATGGATTAAAGACCTCACTATCAGTCACAACACATTGAACCTGATAGAAGAGAAAGTGGGAAGTACCCTACAGGAGATGGGCACAGGAGATCGCTTCCTATGTGTAACCCCAACAGCACAGACATTAAGGGCAACATTGAATAAATGGGACCTACTAAAACTGAGAAGCTTCTGTAAAGCAAAGGACACTGTCACCAAGACAAAAAGGCAACCTACTGACTGGGAGAAGATCTTCACCAACCCCGCAACAGACAAAGAGGTCTGATCTCCAAAATATATAGAGAACTCAGGAAACTAGACTTTAAAATGCTAATTAACCCAATTAAAAAATGGGGCACTGAACTGAATAGAGAATTCTCAGCAGAGGTAGTTCAAATGGCCAAAAGACACTTAAGGTCATGCTCAACCTCCTTAGCGATCAGGGAAATGCAAATCAAAACAACTTTGAGATATCATCTTATACCTGTCAGAATGGCTAAAATCAAAAACTCCAGTGATAGCCTTTGCTGGAGAGGCTGTGGAGGAAGGGGTACCCTCATCCATTGCTGGTGGGAATGCAATCTTGTGCAACCACTTTGGAAATCGGTGTTTCGGTTTCTCAGGAAATTCGGGATCACCCTACCCCTGGACCCAGCAATACCACTCCTGGGAATATACCCAAGAGATGCCCTATCATATGACAAGAGCATTTGTTCAACTATGTTCATAGCAGTATCATTTGTAATAGCCAGAACCTGGAAACAACCTAGATGCCCTTCAATGAAAGAATGGATGAAGAAAGTGTGGAATATCTACACATTACGCTGTGGTAAAAAACAATGACTTCTCAAATTTTGCATGTAAATGGATGGAAATAGAAAACACTATCCTGAGTGAGGTAACCCAGACCCAAAAAGATGAATATGAGATGTATTCACTCATAATTGGTTTCTAGCCATAAACAAGGGTCACGGAGTCTACAATTGGTGATCCCAAAGAAGCTAAGTAAGAAGGTGAACCAAAGGAAAAACATATAGTTGTCCTCTTGGCTAAGGGAAGTAGACAAAATTGCCGGGGTGAAAATTGAGATCTTGGGGGTGGGGTGGGATGGGGGTAAGGGGAGATGGGGAGAGAAAAGGGAGAAGGGGAGAATGGGGGGAACTTGGGGAAAAAGGAGGATTGGGATAAAGGAAGGTTAGATAGGGGAGCACGGAAGCACAATTCTTATTTAAGGGAGCCACCTTAGGGTTGGCAAGAGACTTGAACCTATAGTGGCTCCCAGATGCCCATGCCGAGGTCCCCAGTTAGTTCCTTGGGCAGCTGAGGATAGGGAACCTGAAATGACCCTATCCTATAGCAATACTGACGAATATCTTGCATATCATCACAGAACCTTCATCTTGTGATGGATGGAGATAGAGACAGAGACCCACACTGGAGCACTGGACTGAGCTCCCAAGGTCCCAATGAGGAGCAGAAGGAGGGAGAACATGAGCAAAGAAGTCGGGACCACGAGGGGTGCACCCACCCACTGAGACAGTGGAGCTGATCTATTAGGAGCTCACCAAGGCCAGCTGGACTGTGACTGAAAAAGCATGGGATAAAACTGGACTCTCTGAGCATGGCGAACAATGAGGGCTGATGAGAATCCAAGGACAATGGCACGGGGTTTTGAACCTACGTAATGTGCTGGCTTTGTGGGAGCCTAGCCAGTTTGGATGTTCACCTTCCTTGAAATGGACAGAGGCGGGAGGACCTAGGACTCACCACAGGGCAGGGAACCCTGACTGCTCTTTGGACTGGAGAGGGAGGGGGAGAGGATTGGGGGGAGGGGGAGAAGGGTGGGAGGAGGGGGAGGGAAATGGGAGGCTGGGAGGAGGTGGGAACTCGTTTTTTTTTTCTCCTTTTCTCAATAAAAAAAAGGTAGTGAATTTCAATATTGGTAGTTTTATATAAAAAGATTATGCTTATAAGTGAGTTTGAAGAAAGATAAGCCTGGTTGTCTTGATAGTTCTGCTTCTAGAAACCACAAGCTACTAAACAAAAATCCCAGTCGAAATCTGAAATATCTCCTTATAAGATGTTGGTCTGCATGGTCCCAGAAGTCCCTAAATCATGTAGTATTTTGCCATTCTTCTTAATCTCCCATTAGAACTAGGACTCTGCTGCTGAAAACACCACATGCTTTTACAAGATACATAAAATTTAGACTAAACCTGAGCTGGCTAATTCCTTTCAGTTTGCTAGTTCTCCTTTAGGCTACAAGGGAATAAATGTATCAATGATCTTACTCAACTTGTGAAAGAGTGGCTCAACTGTTCAGATGGTAAGCAGCTGCTCTTCAGATTTCATTTGAGGCCTGCCCCTCAGGAGGGAGCCCATGTCTGCTACTATATACACCAAGTCAAAACCTAAACAGCATGCTCTAGTAAGGCATTTATTGCTGCTGTTTAGGTAAATGGACCTATAATCAAGCTAGATCCTAAATATTTATGTTTATATTCGTAGACACATGCTATTCTCAGCCTCAATCAGAGAAAACTGTTATTACAATAATTGGCACTGTGTAAAGAGACTGAAGTCTGTTCAAAGTGCAGAAATTAGGTGGTAGTTGAAGTCGCTCAGCCCTAAACAAGATATTTATACTAACCCTTCTAAGTCTCAAGGAATATAACAGAAGAGGGACCAGAAATTAAGAGCAAGAAGGTAAGGATTAGGGTGGTGGGGGCATATGCCTTTTATCTAAGCACTCAGGAGGCAGAGGCAGGTGGATCTCTGTGAGTTAGAGGCCAGCCTATTCTACAAGAGCTAGTTCCAGGGCAGGCTCCAAAGCTACCATGACCCTTTGAATCCTTGTCTTGAAAAACTAGAAGAAAAAGAAGAAAAAGAAGAAGAAGAAGAAGAAGAAGAAGAAGAAGAAGAAGAAGAAGAAGAAGAAGAAGAAGAAGAAGAAGAAGAAGAAGAAGAAGAAGAAGAGAAAAAAGATAAGAACAAGGGAGGTAAATGCCAGTGCAATCATGAACTCAAGGAAGAAAGTGTCAGTTGAATGCACTGGACCTGCACAAGAATAGTCCCTTTGACAGTCAACTATGAATTGGTCAGTATTTTAAGAAGCACCTCTCTCCTCTCCTTTATGCCCCTCTAATGGCTCCTGATATAATTGGGAGGGGGGGGGTGAGTCCACCAGGAACAAGGAACAGTTCTCAACCTAGAGTCACACAGATTACCCTGGTTATTGAGTCACAAAACAAAATAAAAAGACATGAATGTGAGAGAGAGGTGTGGAAGAATGTAGAGAGCTGACACAGGCGGAAACAATGAGTGTGGGGGTATGAGTGATCAGAAACTATCATATACAGGTATAAAATTGTTAAAGAACAAATTTAAATAATGGCATGTATTTGGACAGATTGCTCTCAAGAGAAAACACTGGGAGTATGTTCCATCTTGTCTTACTGATGACAGGCTCATTGTGAGATTAAAAGTAAATGATTGTGGCGTCTCCAAGCGCGTTGTGCACGCTATAATCACGTGATCGCCTCATCCGGGTCATTTGAGTTCTCGCTCCGTCTCCCAACATGGCGGCCGCAGCAAAAAAGAGTAAGAAGGGGAAGACCATCTCCCTAACAGACTTTCTAGCTGAGGATGGGGGTACTGGTGGAGGAAGCACCTATGTCCCCAAACCAGTCAGCTGGGCTGATGAAACAGACGACCTGGACGGAGATGTGTCAACAACTTGGCATAGTAACGATGACGATGTGTATAGGGCACCTCCAATTGACCGTTCCATCCTTCCCACTGCTCCACGGGCTGCTCGGGGACCCAATATCTACCGGAGCCGTCTTCCCAAATCACCACCCTACACTGCTTTCCTAGGAAACCTGCCCTATGATGTGACAGAAGACTCCATTAAGGAGTTCTTTAGAGGACTAAATATCAGCGCTGTACGCTTACCACGTGAACCCAGCAATCCAGACAGGTTAAAAGGCTTTGGCTATGCAGAATTTGAGGACCTTGATTCTCTGCTCAGTGCTCTGAGTCTCAATGAAGAGTCTCTAGGTAACCGGAGAATTCGAGTGGATGTTGCTGATCAAGCACAGAATAAAGACCGGGATGATCGCTCTTTTGGTCGAGACAGAAATCGGGATTCTGACAAAACAGACACGGACTGGAGAGCCCGTCCTGCCGCAGACAGCTTTGATGACTACCCACCTAGAAGGGGCTACCATAGCTTCGGAGGCAAGTATCGAGATCGTTACGATTCAGACCGGTATCGGGATTCAGACCCGTATCGGGATGGATACCGGGATGGGTATCAGGACAGCCCACGTCGAGATATGGATCGCTATGGGGCCCGGGATCGCTATGAAGACCGAGGCAGAAGAGACTATGCCCGAGGCTATGACTCCAGGGTAGGCAGTGGCAGAAGAGCCTTTGGCAGTGGGTACCGTAGGGATGATGACTACAGAGGAGGTGGAGATCGCTATGAAGACCGATACAACAGAAGGGATGACCGGTCATGGAGCTCCAGGGATGATTACTTCCGGGACAATTATAGGCGTGATGGCAGAGGTCCCCCCCAAAGACCCAAACTGAATCTAAAGCCTCGGAGTACTCCTAAGGAAGATGATTCCTCTGCTAGCACCTCCCAGTCCAGCCGAGCAGCTTCTATATTTGGAGGGGCAAAACCTGTTGACACAGCTGCTAGAGAAAGAGAAGTAGAAGAGCGGCTGCAGAAGGAGCAGGAGAAGTTGCAGGGGCAGCTGGATGAGCCAAAACTAGACCGCCGGCTGCGGGAGAGACACCCAAGTTGGCAAAGTGAAGAAACTCAGGAAAAGGAACGGTCAAGGACAGGAAGTGAGTCATCGCAGACTGGGGCCTCAGCCACATCTGGTAGAAATACACGAAGGAGAGAGAGTGAGAAGTCTCTAGAAAATGAAACCCACAATAAAGAAGAAGACTGTCACTCTCCAACCTCCAAACCTCCTAAACCTGATCAGCCTCTAAAGGTAATGCCAGCCCCTCCACCAAAGGAGAATGCGTGGGTGAAGCAAAGCTCTAACCCTCCTGCTCGATCTCAGAGCTCAGACACAGAGCAGCAGTCCCCTACAAGTGGTGGAGGGAAAGTAGCTCCAGCTCATTCCTCTGAGGATGGACCATCAAGGAAAGATGAAAACAAAGTAGATGGGATGAGTGTCTTAAGAGGCCAAACTGGGAGCTCCAGTCGCGGTCCTGGAGACGGAGGGAGCAGAGACCACTGGAAAGAGTTGGATAGGGAAGAAGGCAAAAACGATAAAGACTCGAGATCTGCACCTGAGCCAAAGAAACCTGAGGAGAGCCCGGCCTCTAAGTTCAGCTCTGCAAGCAAGTATGCTGCTCTCTCTGTGGATGGTGACGATGAGACCGAGGGAGACGAGCACAATGAGTAGACCTCCACAAGCTGTGCTTTCCTCTAGTCTCCACCTCGGAACACTCAAGGGCAAATCAAACCTCTAACCAGACAAGAAAAAAATAAAACTCACCATCTCCTGGAAAAAAATATAAATTATTGTGTGCATGTTTCAAATTTACAAAACCTGAACAACAAAAATTGGTATTTGATAGTTGAGCCATTTGGCGTGTCATCACGGTGTACTGCATTCGTGTGAAAAATACAGCTAGTCAGTGAGATTCCATGGGTGTCTATGGCCAACCAATTTTTTACTCTTAAATGGAAGGAAGTATTTCCTCTCTCTTGACTTAGTTTAGTAAAAAAAAAAAAAAAAAACAAACAAACAAACAAACAAAAATAGTTGAGCATTAAAATCCACAATTTCCTAAATAGGTACATCTTAGGGATGCATTCCAATTTATTCAACTACTATTATATCTTTAACATTGTGTGTTCTGTTTAATTGGAATGCACTTTTTTTTAAATTTTTTTTATTTTTTAATTTTTTTTTATTGGGAAAAGGAGAAAAACAACAAGTTTCCACCTCCTCCCAGCCTCCCATTTCCCTCCCCCTCCTCCCACCCTTCTCCCCCTCCTCCTACCCTTCTCCCCCTCCCCCCAATCCTCTCCCCCTCCCTCTCCAGTCCAAAGAGCAGTCAGGGTTCCCTGCCCTGTGGTAAGTACTAGGTCCTCCCCTCTCCGTCCATTCCTAGGAAGGTGAACATCCAAACTGGCTAGGCTCCCACAAAGCCAGCACATTACGTAGGTTCAAAACGCCGTGCCATTGTCCTTGGATTCTCATCAGCCCTCATTGTTCGCCATGCTCAGAGAGTCCAGTTTTATCCCATGCTTTTTCAGTCACAGTCCAGCTGGCCTTGGTGAGCTCCCAATAGATCAGCTCCACTGTCTCAGTGGGTGGGTGCACCCCTCGTGGTCCCAACTTCTTTGCTCATGTTCTCTCTCCTTCTGCTCCTCATTGGGACCTTGGGAGTTCAGTCCAGTAGAGAAGGTGAACCAAAGGAAAAACATATAGTTGTCCTCTTGGCTATGGGAAGTAGACAAAATTGCCGGGGAGAAAATTGAGATCTTGGGGGTGGGGTGGGATGGGGGTAAGGGGAGATGGGGAGAGAAAAGGGAGAAGGGGAGAATGCAGGGAACTTGGGGGAAAAGGAGGATTGGGATAAAGGAAGGTTAGATAGGGGAGCACGGAAGCACAATTCTTAGTTAAGGGAGCCACCTTAGAGTTGGCAAGAGACTTGAACCTAGAGTGGTTCCCAGATGCCCAAGCCGAGGTCCCCAGTTAGTTCCTTGGGCAGCTGAGGATAGGGAACCTGAAATGACCCTATCCTATAGCAATACTGACGAATATCTTGCATATCATCATAGAACCTTCATCTGGTGATGGATGGAGATAGAGACGGAATGCACTTTTTTTTAACTGCCTCACTATCCTTCCGCATCCCACCAAGAAATGCAATTCTCTTTGTGAATTTTGTTGGCCAGTTCTGCAATTGACCAATGAAATTTCAAAATAAAATTGTGTGATAGAAGAGAGAAGACATCAGGATGAGAACTTCATGTCTGAATTATTCCCAATTTTTAATCCAATGTAATAAATATTAGATGCCATTAATTCAGGAACACATCACTTGGGGTCAGAAAGAAAGACTTCTTTCTCATTTGATGATGCATCATATTTTGAGGCATAACGGGCCTATTTAGAATACCAAGGTCACCATTGTTTCACAGATTTCTTTCATCAGTTAAAAACTTCTTTTTGTGACAAGACACATAATGTAGTATTGATTTTAAAATATGTGTTAAGTAACTGGAAATAAGGTTTCTCTGTTTAATAGGCTTGACTCTCCTATTAGTCAAGAAAGAGACTCATGGGTAGATTAACACTGCTATATGTTACAACTGGACACTACATAGTTTCAGGGATATCTTAGTTCTTCTTATATTACAGTATTAAAATATCATGGCCAAAGCAACTTATAAAAGTATTTGTTTAATTGGGTTTACACTTTCGATAGAATTCATGAGGTAGCATGGAAAAAAGGCATGGTGGTATGAACAGCTTGGATCCCAATCTTGGTCTGTAAGCAGGAGACAGAATTTACACTGGGAATGGTGAGAAGTTTTTGAAGCCTCAATGTGTTTCCCATTTGACACATCTAACAAGGCCACACCTCCTAATCCTTCTCAAACAGTTGCATCAACTAAGGCCCAAATATTCAAACTTATTAGCCTATGAGGGCCCTTTTCATTCAAATCACCAAAACCGACAACCCAAATATGTGTTTTAATAGAAACAGAGAAATATTTATCATAAGTCTCTTACATTATTTGTGTTTTTTTAATCTAAAAAGTGTATGTTTAAATAACTCATTTTAAAGAAATATACATGTATAAATTACTTGCTATAAAATTTTAATGTGGGACATAAAAATAATCTATTTCCAAAAATACAGCATTAGTTTAATATTCTTTTTTGATGTTTAATATTTTGGTTAGTTTTATTTTGAGGAAAATAAATATCTGTGTGGAGACAAATTATTTTATGAGTGTATATAAAACTCTTTGATATTACTAAACTGAGATTACCATCTACTTTAAAATTTTATTAAATTGACTGACTGTGTATGTGTGTTTACGTACATCCCATGGTGCATGTGTGGAGATCAAAAAAACTTGTAAGAGTTGCTACACTCATTCCATTATCTAGGTTCCAGGTATGAAAGTCAGGTTGTCAGGTCTGGCTAACAAGAACTTTTACCCACTGCCCCATATTTCAGGCCCTACCCTGTACTAGCTAAATTGCTTTTGAAAAAGAGCATTTACAATGATGGATTTTATTATGGCATTTTCATGCACATATGCCATGATACCTTGTTGTTACTTATTCTTCTCTTCACATGCCTACCCTTGTGTCCCTTACCCTTTCGTCTTTCCAAATAGTCCTGCCTTCTGTTTTAATATATTCCATTTCTCTCCTTTACTCCTCCCCAATTCTTAACATACTCTTTGCCTGTAGATGTGTGATTTATACTTTCATAATATGAATGCCCCCACTTGTATATAGATTTAAATTTGGATTGTGCATATGAGAGAAAATGTCAAATCTGCCTTTCCGAGTCTGGTTTGTTTCCCTTAACGTAGTGATCTCTGGTTGCATGTATTTCCTACAAATGGCGTCTTTTTTTACTGTGATTAAACAAAAATCCATGTGTAATGTATCACTTTTATTTTTACGGTTTATTTATTGATTGATGTTCTGGCTATTTCAGTTTCTTAGCTATTGTTAACAGGATATCTATAAGTACAAGAGTTCTGTGGTATATTTACTTAGAATCATTCAGCTATATGCTGCCGTATGGTAGTTTTAACTTTAGTTTTTGAAGGAACCTCTTTACGCTAACTGCCACAGTGGCTATACCAGTTTGTTCTCATAGCAGCCTGTAGAGGAATTCCTCTTTCCACTCATTCTTCTTTTTTATATTCATTTATTTATTTATTTATTAAAGATTTCTGCCTCCTCCCTGCCACCTCCTCCCATTTCCCTCCCCCTCCCCCAATCAACTCCCCTTCCCTCATCAGCCCAAAGAGCAATCAGGGTTCCCTGCCCTGTGGGAAGTCCAAGGACCACCCACCTCCATCCAGGTCTAGGAAGGTGAGCATCCAAACTGCCTAGGCTCCCACAAAGTCAGTACGTGCAGTAGGATCAAAAGCCAGTGCCATTGTTCTTGAGTTCTCAGTAGTCCTCATTTTCCACTCATTCTTGTCAGCATTTAGTATTATTTGTTTTCTTGTTTATAGCCCTAGAGATGGATGAGATAAAATCTAAAAGCAATTTCAATTTGAATTTTCTGTATGGCTAATGTGTTCAATAGTTAGCCTGAATATTAATTGGATGAATTTGGATACTTTTGTGACATTTATTTAAAATCTCCATATACTATACTTTGGACATATTCTTTCCTTCCCCCACATCCTTCATACATTCAAAACAAGCTAAAAAGAAAAAGAAACTCAAGGGGACCAAAAGAAAACAAAAGATACATAGTAGTAGCAACAACAAAACATACACTACATTTTGTGTTGGTCAACTGCTACTAGACCTGAAGCCTGCCCTGGCTGTGTTTGGTATATCCAGTGACATCCTATTGAAAAAAAAACTGATTTTTTTTTTTTTTTGGCTTTTTTGGTCTGGATGACTTTTTCCAATTTATTTACCTGAAATTTCATAGTTTCATTTTTCTTAACAACTGATTAATATTCAGGTGTGTAAATGTACCACATTTTTTATTATCCATTCCTCAGCTGATGGACATTTAGGTAGTCGCCGGTCTCTGGCTATTATGAACAGAATAAGGAGCATGGTTGAGCTAATGTCTTGGTAGTAGGCTCTAGAGTCCTTGGGGCATATTCCCTAGACTGGTATAGATGGATCTTCAGGGAGATCAATTCTAATCTTCTTGATAAGTGACCGCACTGATTTCTATATTTTATACCCCCACCATCAAAGAATAAGTGTACTGCTTTCCTTATATCCTTGCCAGCTAGCATGTGCTGTCATTTGTTTAATTGATGTTGGCTGTTCTGATTGGGGCAGGAAGAAATCTCAACAAAGCTTTAATTTTCATTTCTCTGATGGCTAAAGATGTGATTTTATTTATTTTTTTGCTTTTTTTTTTTTGAGACAGGGATTCACTGTGTAGCTCTGGCTGTCTTGAAAATTACTCTGTAGACCAGACCAGCCTCAAACTCACAGAGCTCCTCATGTCTCAGCTCCGAGTGCTGGAATTAAAGGGGTATGCCACCACTGCCTGGCAAAATGTAGCATTGTTTAAAGGGTATTTCTCAGCCATTTGTCTTCCATCTCTTGAAAACCCTCTGCTTAGTTCTTTACATTTTATTTAAAAAAATTTTGGGGAGTTCCTATATATTTCCCATCCCCAGGGCAATTCATGTATATTTCTCTTACGTTTCTCCCTGTTACCTAGCTTCTCTGAGGTCGTGGATTTTAGGCTCCTGTTGATATTTGCTTTGTTACT